TTTTTTTCCTTTATATATACACTTACCTTTATCACCCAAAACAAGATTTGCAACTAAATTAGTCTTACCTGATCTGCTTCTTCTGCTAACTATCATTTTGAAGGGCCACGTAGAACTAGCTAGATGAGTTTGACAATGAGATACGATATGCTTATTAGCTTCATCTATATCTATAAGAAATAGTTTCATTTTTTGCATATTGGTATAAAAATATGTGATTTATCACTAGCTCCGCTATTATAATTGAATCAGAGGTATTATATCTTTATTTTTGATTTTTATTTTTTTCTGTTTAATAAATGTAATCTATATAGTAGCAATAATTAATAAAGCAAGTAAAAGCAAAGCAAATATTGGAGACCCCAATATACTCACCACAGGAATTTCTTCCACTAAAATTTGTGATTGTGATTCAATCGGAGAAGGAGAAGGAGAATCAGCTAGAAGGAAAGGTGTCACATTTTTTACCCATGGTAGCTCTATTATTTCTTGAGGTTGAAATATATTATCCTTATTAGTTTCGCTAATATTAGTTTTAGATGCTTTACCATCCTTACTCTGTGAGTCACTTATCTTGGATTCTTCTATACTTTTTCTATATACAAAATATTGGGCAAGATTATTATGACTCAAAGAGTCACCCTTAAAGAGCCTGCAAAGTAATGGTTGTTCTTCGTTTTGCGTATTTTTTTTGTCATCTCTCGTAATCGCAAATCTTGGCTGTGCTAAGTCCGCTGATGTAGTATCTGATTTTAATCGTTCAAGCTCATCGATCTTTGAAGCCAATTTATTCTTTATATGCTCTAGTTCAGCTTTAAAAGACATAATCTCAGAATCTTTTTTTGATGAATTTTACTAAATCGAAAATGCGTCTTTTTGGGCTAATGCTAACTTACCCTCCAATATCTTAATTATAGCCTGGAGTGATTTTATTTCTTTTAATTAGATATCATACCTGGCTTTATACTCATCACGGGAAATCTGTGATCGGGTAATCTGGGATGTAAGGTTAGTATTGTCCACTTCAATCATTTAACCTCTTCTATAAATTGGTAGGTATTCTTGGAGAGTTTCTCTTTATCATTATTAGATTGTTTTAGATCACATTGTATACGCTTATTGTCTTTATCTAAGATAGAATATTTATTGACAAGTCGATTGCCACACTCTATAGCAATTTCTCGATCTCGATTTGCACAAGCAAGCTGGTTTTCAAGTTCTGTTCAACTAGACGGATATCGGTTTGATGGTATGTCTTCAAGTTTTTTGCATTCACCTATATCTGATAATGTATAGATTCGAGGCATATTATCCAATTCTTATAGATATCTAAAAAATTAATATATTTGTATTTTGAATGTAATATATTCTATCTTTCTAATATATTTTAATATTTCGATATATTTTATATTTTTTGTTAGATATAAATATCTTATATTTATATTTACTGCTATGCCTAGAGTACGTATATGATCTGATGTACCCCTATTTTCTCGGGAAGATTATTCTTATATTATGCAATATTGTGATATAAAACCAAGATATAAAATTTTAAATGACTTGATAAAATGTATTTATCAGATTTGGAGAGGGAAGAAGCTAATAGAGTTCTCTGAGATCAACCTATACCCATGATGATGATAATGACTCTAATCAAAATTTAAATATTTTTTATAATGCACAAAGTATACAAGTACAGTCTAGTATATCCAGCCATGATGTGTCTACCTCTGACAATAATTCATCTAATACAAATGATATGATT